GAAATGACTTGCCCAGGGTCACATAGCTAGTGTCTTTCTAGAGGGGCTGTACCCATTCACAGGTCCACCCATAGCACATCACTGTTCCTGCTTCCTCCCAGCCCCTCCAACATTTGTCATTTTCTTTCTTTCTTTCTTTTTTTTTTTTGTCAAATCTTTCCCAGTCTGATGGGTTGAGTTCTGAATGACAGAGAAAAGTACCCATATTGATGAGATACAAAAAAATCCATAGAAATATAAACTCAGTATTTAAAGTCCTGCTGAAAGGGAGCAGTCTATTTCAAGGATTATGTCATATACTCTAGGGGCCTCACCCAATACACTGAATTTCCTTTAGCACTTAAGGCAACAGAAAGTATTTGCCAAATTAGAAAAGTGCTAATTAGAGAAAAAGACAATGGAGTATCTGTGGCACATAATTGGCCAGTGGAAAAATCTGTATAATTAGCTGTCTTCGAGTATTTGAAGGACTGACAAGTGGAAGATGCAATACATTTGTTCTACTTGACCCCAGAGAGTAGAACCAGCATCATTAGAGGAAAATTGCAAAGAGGACATCTTGATCAAATCTGAATCGTACCACCAACCTCCAATGTCTCTTTCAACTACAGGATTCTGTGGTCTGCATAAAGTAGAGGTTGTCCTGTCCTGAGCGATCCTTTCACTGTCAAAATACTTGCAGGGGCTATTACATTTTATGACACAATTCTTAACACTTCATCCCCGAGTTTTGTCACCCTGACAGAGCTTCTCACTGATCTGCTGAAATACCGCAAGGCTTTCCAGTGACACTGAAGAGAAAATGCAATTGAACTATCATAAGAACCCCTTCACCTTGGACCTTATTTTAACCTACTAAGACTGCATACTTGGACACTGACACAGCCAACGTAACTAAAGGAGCTATTTTCTCACAGGCATAAAACATAAACTCAGCAAAAGTGGTAGTTGATATGATGGAGGTGCTCTGGCTCATCATAGCCATGAGAAGGCTGTGATTTATTACAAATAAAGAATTTCGTAGGAGGAACAGTATAAAGGATGCCATAACAAATATATAAATGGCTGGTCGTGTAGTAAAAGCAAAGAAATAGTTATCTCTTCCACATTGCAGGAGCCCAGCACCCACGTAAAATTTTTTGGCCCTCCCTTTTGTACCACAGAAAAAGTCTGAATTATTATGGTATTAAAAGATAAAATATGTTGATATTACATAATAGCATTTCTGAATTTCTAAACTTTTTCTGTGTTGTCTATGGGCCTTCATGTGCCTTCTGCCAAACTCCCCCCAAATTCCCATTTAATTTTTCATGCTGACATGCGATATATTGAAACAGTGATTGGGAAAGTTGCTATGTGGAAGGGATAACTGTAACTGAAAGACAGCCAATGTAATCTGTTGGTATCCATGCAAGAAGAATCAAAAAAGGCCTCTAACATATTAGGGGGACGCTCTGTGGTGAATATATATAGACAAGCAGATGAACAGGCATGGATGAGTTGAAGTCTGTTTTGTTAAAGAGAATAAGAATATCTACTTTGATGAAATCAACAGACCCACTGGACCACTGTGGTATGGGAGGCATACTGTTGATTCACATTTTGCTTACAATCCACTAAAACTCTCAGGTTGTTTTCTTTCCTCCATATCTAGCCTGACAAGATCTTTCGGGATCTTGAGTCCATTTTCCAATGTGTTATCTAGCCTTTCTCAGCTTCATGTTACATGAAAATTGTTGTCTTTATCTAATTTATTAAAAATAATCAATCAACAGAAATATTATCTAACAATTATAAAGAGGCCAAATTCTTGGGATACTCAATATCCTCACTTTACCTAATACTACTTTGGGGGTCCAGTCATCAATCAATCAATAAACATTTAATAAATGCCTACTATGTGCCGGGTACTGTGTTAAGTTCCAAGGATATAAAAAAAAAAAAGACAGTCCCTGCCCTCAAGGAGTTTACAATCTAGTGGAGGAGATAACATGCAAACAAACACACAAAGCAAGCTATCTACAAGACAAATAGGGAATAATTAAGAGCAGGAAGTCATTAGAATTAAGAGGGGCTGAGAAAGGCTCTCTGTAAAATATGAGATTTTAGTTGGAACCTGCAGGAAACTTGGGAAGGCAATAGGCAGAGCTGAGAAGGGAGAGCATTCCAGGCATAGGGGACTGCCAGATGTTGAAATTATAATAAAAATGATTGGTAGTGCCATAATTTCACTTATGAGGAATGGAGTAGTTGGGGAAAGGAATCAAATGGTGGAAGGGGAGATGAATTCAGTTTTGGACTTCTTGATTCTGGGAAAAGGTGTATTGTATCTTTGCATGGATTAACAAGTTAAGAACTAAGTACATGGAGATTCTCAGCTTCAAGATTTAAAATAGCCTATAGATAGTAACACATGGTTTCTAATCCCAGCTCTACTACTGTGTACATATCTAGCTTCACAACCTTGTACGGAGCTTTGGGCTTTTGTTTTTTGTTTTTTCTCTAAATTGAGGTAGCTGGATTATCAGGAGTTCTTAAACTTTTTTTTGTGTCCTGGACCCCTTGGGCAGTCTGGTGAAGCCTATGGACTTCATCTCGGAATAATGTTTTTAAATACCTAAAATGCATGAGATTATAAAGGAAACAAATTACATTTAGTATTATTATCAAGATATTTAAAAAAAAAAAAAACTAATTCATGGACCTCAGGTTAAAATCCTTTGAATCATTAAATGACCTTACAAATCTAATCTATGATCCTATGATCCTTCCAGTTCTAAAACTTATTCCATAAGCCATTTGGCTAGGAAACAGTAATTGCTTTAATTTACACATTATTTTGAATTAACCGCCATCAAATTAACAAAGTTTTACAGTATCATTGTTCTCATCACTACATTAAGACTTAAATTACATTGGAAAAAATAATATGGTAGCAATTGAAAAGCAACTAATTACAAGCAATTATAAGACAAATAATGTTTATACTACAAGTAGAGTTTGAGGCAGTTTAACAGACACTGATTTCCTATTTCTATAAGCAACTGCTTAAAGCCAAAGAATGGAATGGCTTGTAAAAACATGGCAGTACTACTTTCATCTTCATCCCAATTAGTATTACCAGTCATCTTTCCATTAAAAAAAAAAACAAAAAAACAGCCTTGACTTGCCTACCCATTTGCTTGTCTTTAACTCAACTAATGGAAAGATAGACTATATGATCTGGGAGTTCATAACCCCAATTTAAACAGTCAGATGTTTTTGTACAAGGTGGCAAGATTATTAGTGAATATAACAACCTCAATACGTAGCTGCTTTCAACAAGTTTCATGGAGAAATGTGAACAAACCCCTATACTTGTTGGACAAGTATATAACCCTGCAGGGTATCTGGAATGCAAGCTCAAACCTCTTTTCCAGTTGGTTTTTTTTTCCATGCTGACAACATCTTGAAGCCCAGTTTAAAAAAGTCTTTTCTGATCTTGAGAGGAATTTATTTTGTCTTGTTACACATTTATCTTCAAATGGCATACATTTTTTAATCTTCCAAGTTCTCCCAAGAACAAAATAACAAAATAAGGTGAAGGTTCACTGTGACATTTTGACCCCCTCCTAACTTTGTCTTGCCATTGTCAGTCATATATTCATTTTATTTTAATTAGGCATCTCAACAATGATGTATTTCTTAATAGTCCTAGTTGACCCATTCTAGAACACTGTGTTTTCTATTTTATTAAGATACCTGCTGAATTCTGAGACGTGGTGCCAACGCCCCTCTTTCCACTGATCATTTTCCAGTTGGTTGAGATTTGTGAGAAACAAACCAAACATCAGATTTACCAATAAAGTTAATGTCCCATTTGTATTTAGTAATTTATGATTTGGAGGAATACATCTGCAGAACAAATTCCCATTCTTAAAATCAGACCCACCAAGGCATGAAGTTGCCAGCTGCAGGAGCTCCGAGCTCCACAAACTCACGAGGCTTGGATTAAGCTTTTTCTAATGGAAAAACAGGTTAATGGCCGCTGCTCGTGGGAGACCCAGAGCCCTCTAGGGCTGGGCGCCACACTTCTTTTCTTTCCCCTTTTTTAAAAAAAGCAAAAACCCAACAGCTTCTCCCTATTGTGTAAAAGCTATACGAATTCATTCCTATTTGTCCGCAAGGCTAAGACTGTAGCAAAAGATGAAGCGAATGCCTTGTTCTCCCACTTGCAACTGCATGCGTCAGGGGCAACGTGTTGAGTTTTAAAACAGTGGATGCTTCCTTTTTTTTTTTTCCCTTGCCTCGGAGAAATAGTCTGAGGGGAATAGCCAGGTCAATCAGAAGCATGGGCGACCAAATACACTCCACAGAGAAGGGAACAAGCCGCTCCCCCGCAGCGCAGCTCAGCGCAGCTCAACCGCCCCGCACACCGCCCAGTCCAGCCCATCTAGGGGACAAGGACCCGCCCACCCTAGCTCAATTTTTAAAAGCTCGGCAGTCATAGACGAGTCCTCCTCCCCAACTCTGCCTAGACTCTTCCTTTTCCACCCCGATTTAGTCTCCCCAGCTAAGTGCAAATGCGGTCTCTCCTTCGGTACCTCCCGCTTGAGGGAGCCATGGCAGAAGATTACCAGGCAAACTGCTTCCCGGCGCTCGCGGGAGGCCCGCCCCAACCTAAGACGGCAAATGATTGACAGCCGGCTGGTGCTATGAGCGGGAGGGGCGGGGCTGTATGCGTCACTTCCTGACCCTGCGGGGTGAGGGGCTATATAAAGGACTTGCTCACGCAGTGCCCTCGCTTACACAGTATGGCCGGCGACATTAGCTAGCGCTCGCTCTATGCTCTTCTCTGTAACGGGAACCAGCGGAGTAAAAGAGACTGAACAGCATCTGCCTCTATTTCCAACACAGACTCACGTTCAACTTTCGCACGAGAGAAAAAAAAAAGCCGGGAAAAATTTTATTAATCTTTTTTTTTTAAAAAAAGTTAATATAAAATTATAACAGAAGCAAAAAAAAACCACACGCACGCAAAAAAAAAAAAAAAAAACCAGAAACAAAAAACCTCCTGAACTTTAAAGAAGCAGCAGGAACAACCCGCAGCGGCGGAGGCGGCGGCGGCGGGAGAAGAGATTTAATTTAGTTGATTTTCTGTGGTTGTTGGTTGTTCGCTTGTCTCACAGTGATGGAAGCTGCACACTTCTTCGAAGGGACCGAGAAGCTGCTGGAGGTTTGGTTCTCCCGGCAGCAGCCAGACGAGAGCAAAGGATCTGGGGATCTCCGCACCATCCCAAGGTCGGGGCTGCGCGTGGGGAGCCGAGGGGTTGGAAGCACGGATAAGCGGTCAGCGGGCCGAGCTGGGGGGTTGAAGGAAGGGCGTGGGGCAGAGGTGTCGAGAGGGCCGGGGACGCCTGCCGTCAGGTGGTAAAAGCCTATGTTCGGTAGTCGGCGCTCTAATTTTTCGTGGTGGTGGTGATGATGATGGTAAGGGGGAGGGGGCTGGAGCGCCGTTTGCGGTGGGGTCTCTCCTCGTGCCGGCCACGCTCAGGTAACGTCCTTCCTCGGGCCGGGGGTGGGGTGGGGGAGCGCGGGCTTCAGGTGATTGAGGAATGGAAAGCTCACCCATCCGGGCTACTGGGCGCCGCCCCCGCCTGGAGGGAGGGAGGGGGAGGGAGAGAGAAGTGGGGGGGGAAGCGGGTTTGTGGCTTGGTTTCCTTCCCTCCTATGGGCGTCAGGTGTGATCCGCGCCGTCAGCTCGAGCCTGTTAAACCAGGGGCTCTATCTCGGACCGCTCTTGTGTCTGCGTTAGGTGACCTCGATCCAGCTATTCCCACCACCACCGCCGCTCCCCTCAGCCCCTGGTGTGGTTTGGGGAAGAGGGCAGACCCGCTCTTCCCGCCGCTGCCGGGAGGAAGGGGAATTCCTCCCGGTTCCTCCTCGGAGAAGGGTCTCGTTTAAGCAGGCCTCCTGCGGAGCCGCCATAAAAACCCGCCTGCACAGGCCTCCCCCCTGTGTACTAGTCGGGTCCCTACTGGCTGGCTCCTTGTGGTGGGGAGTGAGTGGGAGGCGGCGGTGTCGCAGTGCCCCGGGCGGCCTTGGGTGGGGGGGCGGGGAAGGGGGGCGCCGCTGTCGCCTTCAAATGCTCTGCACCAAAAAACCTCCGGCCTAGCGCGTGGCCCACACGGCCTCCCGGCCTGGGAGATCCGCCTTTGCCATCGAGGCTGGTCTGCAGCTGCTCTTGGTGGGTGGCAGCCCCTACGAGCGTGACGAAGCCCCAGAGTGTAGGTTAGTAGAGGAAGTATTGGTTGCAGGCTCTTCTGACCTTGTGCAGTATAACCTGTTACTTAGCCTGTGAGATCCGGGAAGCGCTATGCAGCCATAATAGGATAGATGGCCATCCTGCAATTATTTTTGCCTGGGGACATAATGCTCTGTGTGTAACGTATTTATATGCTACTGCCTAATGCCTTAAGCGGTCAAGGAGACCTGGGGCCCCGGGCTCCCTGCACCTGAGGGCACAGAACCAATGCCAGAGGCTTTTTCAGAAATTCATTTCCTTGATGGCGACTGGTGCCTTCTTTGGAGGTAAAATCGGAAACTGACTCTAATTCTTCCCTTTTTTTTTCTTTAAACAATTTAATTATTGGAAACCTGGCCTGTATTTCATGCTAGGTGGTAATAATGAAAGGTAACTGAAAGAAATTGCTCTTGACCTAGTGTCGGGCGACCCTCTCTAGAGGTCCGACGTGCTTTAACTGTCTCTTTCCTTCCCCTCATTTCTCTGCAAGCACCCCTTACATCCCCTCACCCCGCCCCAGTGGCCTTAACTACGATTACACGTGAGGTTCTTAGCTCTGCCTTATCGTTTAGCTGACTCCTCTTCATTGAAAAGTTGAACCAATGAGAGCTTTTAGGGTGGGCAGAATGTTGGGCCCTAAGGCTGTCAACCAATGGGATTTTGAAGAATGTTGGCTGCCGCTTAGCCCTATAATCCTCTGATAAAGAGCAACCCAAGGTTTAGGGGAAACTAGGAGGTGCTACGGAGGCATTTTAGGCACTTATTTCTCCAGCAGCAAAATCTGAAGGATTTCTGCGCTTCTTTGTGCCTGCGAATACATTGGTTCTTCCTAAGTTTTGTGTGATATTTAAGATTTTAACCTCAGGGTTGCTACTTTGCCTTGTTCTTCCACTTAAAAAGAGACGACAAAACCTTCCTATGTATGTGCCCATAGTGATTAATAACACTGAGTGTTTTAGAAGTGTCTGAAGAAACACAGTTATTCGAGAAGAGTAACTAATTGGAAATGAGTTAAAGAAATTTTAGCTACAGAATAACTAAACAGATTTCCTTGGCCAACAGATTGAACATTTCCCCCATAGTTCAAATAGTTCCTTGGAGAAGAATTTCATGGATGAGCTATGTTTTAGTCTTTGTAAAGGTGTTTTTTTTCCCCTTCACAAGGTGATAGATAAATTTAGAATCATAGAATTTGAAGAATTGTTGAAATGAATAGTTTATATATTGAATTATCCTTTAGTGAAGGTTTGTGGTGTTAATGTAGATTTTAATCTACTGTGAAAGGGTCACCTGGTAGATTAGCAATTTTGTAGGACCTTCTTTGTTTTGAGGGAAACCTTGGGGAAAGAGTAGAGTTTATAGTGCAAAGATTCTTAATCTAGGTCCATGAACTTTTTTTTAAGCATTTTTGGAAACTATATTTCAAAATAACTGGTTTCCTTTGTGATACTATTTTGTTCTATGCATTTAAAAACATTGAGAAGGAATTCATAGGCTTACCAGACTGCCAAAGGACCCCATCATACAAGAATAAGAAAGGCCCCTTACTTTAGACCATGAAACTTTTTTCCCCCAAGAAGCTATTAGTTACATCTATCTCCTTGATCACAGAACTTGAACATGAAAAGGAGACCTTAGAAATCATCTAGTCTAAACTGCCCACAAAGGTGAAGTGATTAATACCTAAGGTTTCGTAGTGGTAGATGGAGCTGGATTGTAACCCAGATTTAAGACACTTTTGTTCAGTGTTACTATCACTGTGACAATCAAGTTGCCTTTCCGTTGGCTCTTGGGGTACCTTTCAAGAAAATGCATTAGGAGAATGGATTCAAGTCTGTGCCTCAACACTTATTAGCTATGTAGGCAAGTGGTTAAACCCCTGAATCTTTCTAGAGCCCTCAGATTTTTGCTGTAGAACCATTTTTCTAGACTCTTAAAGCAATAAGATTACCAATTTGGGAAAAATACATGGCTCATCCAACTGAGTACAGTTGTTAAGCAACTTGTGAAACTCAAAAGACAACTGTGGGATCCTTTTATATCGTATTGCATAGAAATTGTGGAACGATGTGGTTTTTTTTATTAAGTAGCTTGGGTATGTTTTTTGGTGAAGAGCCTCATTGATGTATTCTGAGACACTCCCAATCAGTTTCTAAAACTGGTAGTCAGTAAACAAGCATTTGTTAAAACCAAGTGTGTACCTGTCTTTGTTCACTCAACAGGCCCACTAACCTAGTTTTTACTTTCTCATCTATCTGACCTGAACTTCAAGGTTCAGCAGGCTTTTAAACTTAATTAAACTGCTACTCAACCTATATTATAAATTTAAATAGTATGACAAGAGATTTTTGTTAGTTATAAACTAGCCTGGCTACTTAATCTTACTCATTTTATTGGGGTGGGGGTGGAATGTATATGTAGTTGCCATAATGAAATTCTGCCCCCCGGCCATGGAAGTATAAGCCGAGAAAGCTGAGGAACATCGTTAAAGAAGTAAATTGTCTTAGTAGAATTTTCCAGGGTGTGTAAAAAGAGAATGATGATTACAAAATAGTATCATTCTACTGGCATATTTCCCATCTACCTTGTTAGTCTTTAGTATCTAACAAGTTTTAGAGTATCTCTGTCTAGTGCACTATGCACCAAACAAGTTGAGACATGCTTTGTAGGTTAATATTGTAGTGAATAAATAAATTCATCTTTTTAATGAAAAATCAGAACAGATTTTGATTATTAGGCTTAATTCATAATTTGAATATGGGTTTTTATTAACTTAGACCTAGTAAGCAATCTGGTCAAATGGTTGAGAAAGGTGAAACTTGAGTAAAGAGGACAAATATGGTTTCTGAGTTATTCGAAAAGGAAGCCCCAAGAAAATTTATGTCCCTCTAATGTCACTTATAAAATGTGGTGAGCTTGAGTGATATTTCTCTCCATGTCTATGGAATTAAAGTATATGAACTAAAGGGGCTTTCACCTAGAATAGGAACACTAAAAATATTTGTTGAATCGTTGTACTGCTGGTTAAATTATATATAACCATAGATGTCTGTCCATCATATGTTGAATTGAAAATTTATATTTCACTATAAATAGCAGAGTCGGGTTGAAGGTTACTGTGATCGTGGAAAAGTTACTTAACCTCTATGACGCTGTTTCCTCATTTGTGAAATGGAATGATATTTATAATTTACCTATTTATATTAGCATTACCTACTTTATTGAGTTATAATAGTTATATAATGCTGTTAGCGTTTGTCAAATTATATAGCCTTAAGTAAGTATTGCCCTGAGTTTAGGAATTGTTGTATGGGTTTTGTTGTAATTTGATTCAGCAGTTGCCTTGAGGTCCATTGGGAAAGAACACTGGATTTGGAGTCAGAGGACATGGACTGGAATCAGAGCTCTCTACAGACCTTAGCTAAATCATTTAACGTTTCTAAGGCTCAATTCATTCATCTGTAAAATGAAAGGCTTAGACCAGGTGACCTCTAAATTCCCCTCCAGCCTGAAATCGGTAATCCCATGATAATCCAAGGTCCCAGGGTAATTTTTGAACAAGAGTGGCATCAAGGGGGGGAGGGGTAAGGGTGAGGGAAATGACCCCATTTGGGCTTTTCTTGACAAAAATATTTGGTTTGCCATTTCCTTTTCCAGCTCATTTTACAGATGTGGAACTGAGGCAGACAGGGTTAAGTGACTTGTCTAGGGTCACACAGCTAGTAAATGTCTTGAGGCCACATTTGAACTCAGAAAGAGGAGTCTCCAGTTGTAATGCCTTATGCAACTTGTGCCATCAGCTGTCTAGCCCGTGACTGTGGGCTGCCTTTGCAAAGGCATAGAGATAGGAAATGGGATATCCTGTGTAGTGTGTAAAGAGCCTGTTTTTTTTTTTTTTTTTTTTAAAGTGTAGAGCCATAATATGAAGGGCCTTTAAATGTCAAAGAGACATTCTGGATGACTGGTAAAATGGTGACATCCTTCATAAAAGTAAGGA